CCCTTAAAGGGGAAAGGTTGCCTACCCCTGATGTTGAGATTCCTGGGGCTCTTTCATGCTACACAGTTATAGCACTATAATACCACTTTAACTGCCATGGCTCCATCCTGTGGGATCCTGGGATTTGTAGTTTAAAGAGTGGCTTTTAGAATTCTTAGCCAGTGAGCTATAATGCCTTTCTGGAGTACAAACTCCAGAATTCCAAAGGATCAAACGATGGCTGTTAAAGTGGAATAGTAGCACTGTAACTGGGTAGTGTGGAAAGGTCCCTGCTATAAACATGTTTTCTGATTAGGTGTGCTGGAATGAGGAATGTGGTTCCTGGGAAGGTAGATTATGATGAGTATCTAGTAACAGGAGTCTGTATAGCCAGCTTATTCTTACTTGGTGGAATTTCCAGTGTCTCTACAGATGACAGATGCTCTGTTTTGTATCATATGGATTTACAGCTTTGCTACAATGTAAGGTGTAGTGTTTTTGAAGTGATATTTAGGGAGCACTTTTCAACAGGTGAAGCCTTGGTGTCTGAAACATTTCTGAGGTAATGCAGAGTTCTCTTGAAGATTTACCCTGGGTTTTGGCAGCTGACTCAGAGGTTGTTTGTTTTTTTATAACCTGCACTTTGCTGGAGCTAAAAATTGTTGTATTACTTTCTTGTTATAGTACAAGACCTACTACATTCACTTAACCTTTACACAACCACCAGGAAAAATGCCTAGCAAGCACAGAGTGTCTACATATTTCAGTGCACCTCTGCTTACAACTCAAGAAAAAACCCATGACCAATCAAGTTTCTTGGTTTCTAATATGTCACACCTTCAATTATCAGATTACTATATATTTTATCCTGAATTTTCAAAAGTCTACATGAATGTGCGTCAGGGCTTTGGGCATTCATCAGTACCAAATGCCCATAGTCATTCAGGATACATCCAGATTGATTGAAAAGTCCCATATTTTGTTTCTGTTCTTTCCAATTTTAAATAAACACACCTGGGGAGCTGTTATAAAAGGTCTCTGTACTGGAAGACAAACAGAAAATATTCTGAGATAAACAAAATGTGTATGGATCTCCAAAATAAAATTTGGGGAAAAACAGGAACAAAATATGGGACTTTCTGGTCTTTTTAAAATCAAACTGGATGTGCCCTTAGAGTGAGGGTGTCAGAGCTCTTTCCTGAAGTAGACAGATTTGCAGAGGACTTTGGTCATAGAAAAGACTTTAAATATTGAAGATTGTCTTGAGAGTTTTTCTTATCTACGAGAGTCCTGTGCTGAGTAAGACAGATGACACAAAACAGCCCACTTCCCATTTCTCTGTTTTCATACACAGCAAGCTTATTTCAGAAATGCTTGTGCATAAAGGCAGAGATGCCACTCTACAGACAAATGGCAAATTATTTTTATTTGTTCTCATCTCCTTCTTTGGAATGAAGAAGACTTCATCCCTGCAGCTAAATTTCATATTGTATTTGTGGCTTGCAGGCAAATATGCCATAAAAAAGCTATAGACTGAAGCTTTTATTACTCTGTGGGGCTGAATAAAATTTTGACTGCAGCTGAGGTATTCATTTGTAATAAAAGATGGTAGCTGAGATAAGATGACTTCCCTTGGGTAAAATTGTTACAGGTGGTAAACACTTCCATGTCTGTCATACTTAACGTTTCATTATCAATGCAATGTTTGTTTGTAGTATTGTTCAGAGGTGGGCAGAACTTTACTATATTTGGAAATAAGAATGTATTGTTATAGTCACCTAATGCAGTCTTACTTTTAAGCGCAGTATAGAATATGTTAAGGAAGCGTGTTTATTTGGCACTCTCTTTGTAAATCCAGAAGTGATGCCAGTGACTCCATCCTTGCAGCTCTGTACTATTGTTTTGCTTTGCTTTTAATTTGATGCTGGGCTAAAAATGAGTAAAACTTATTTAAAATAGCTTTGAAAATGAATCCGAAATACCTTTAAATACTTTTGTGAAGTATAATGAAAAATTTTCTGCTGCTATTTCAAGATACAGTGATAAACCCATTATGATTCTGACAAAAAAAAAATGAAAAGCAAAATAATAGCCCACAGACTGGAAATATTCAATATATCTTTCAGTCTCCAAGGTGACACCAGGAATTGTAATAACTATCAGCTTTTGCTTTGCTCTCATATGCAATCAGAATGATTCTCCAGATTTTATAAGAAAGGCCCTTACCATATATGAAGTGAGAAATGCCAGGTGTCCAAGCTGGGTTCATAAAGGAGGAGGTACTAGGGGGCATATTGCAAACATATGTTGGCTATTGAAACATATGAAAGAATTTCAGAGGAAAATCAACCTGTGCTTTAATAGATTACATTAAGTCTTTGACTATATAAATCATTAGAAATTATGGTTAGTTCCAAAATAATTAGGAATGCCACAATTTCTGATTATGCTGATGCATTACCTGTGAACAAGAGGTCACAGCCAAAGCACAATTTAGAAAAACAGAATGGTTTCCACTGGCAAGAAGGATCAAACAAGGCTGAATTTTACCACCCTATTTTTTTAAACTTATATGCATAATATATTATATGGAAAGCAGGATTAGACTCAGAGGAAACAGGTGTGAAAATAGGGGGAAGGAACATTAACTATTTAAGATATACAATTGACACTGTATTACTTGTAGAAAATAGCAAAGACTTGGAACAATTACGGTACTCAACAAAGTCAAGGAAGAAAGTATAAAAGCAGGATTACAACTGAACATTAAGAAGAACAAAGTAATGACCACAGATGATTTACATAACTTCAAAAGTGGATGATGAAAAAATTCAAATAGTTAAAGATTTCTTATACCATGGCTCACTCAATAATCAGAGTAGTGTCTGCAGTCAGGAAATCAGAAAATAACTAAAATGTGGAATAGCAGTTATGAGGGAGCTAGATAAGATACTTGTATATAAAGACATATTAAATACTAAAGTCAGAATTGTCCAGGCTATAATATTTCTGATTTTGATATATGGCTGTGAAAGCTTGATGGTGAAGAAAGCTGGCAGGAAGAAAATCAACTCATTTGAAATGTGGTGCTGAAGAAGAGTTCTACAGCTACCATGGACTGCTAAAAAGACAAATGAATGAGCAAATAAAGCCTTGAACTCTCACTAAAAGTGTAGATTACTAAACTGAGACTGTCATACTTTGAGCATATCATGAAATGACATGACTCATTAGTAAAGACAATAATGCTTGGTAAAGTAGAAGGCAGTAGGAGAATAGGAATACCACACTACAGGTGGACTGATTAAATCACGGATGTCACAGCCCTGAGTTTGAAAGACCTGAGCAGGGCAGTTGTTAACCAAGGTCTTGGGGCTCTCTTGTTGATAGGATCTCATAAATTGAAGTTGACCTGATGGCAAATAGCAAGAACAAATGAGAGAGGTTTGGCTAGAAATTGGGTAAAAATCTGGGCTGTTCTGGACACGAATTTGAAATAGTGAAAGTTGGATCTCCAGCAAGAGCTCACATTCTGCTATGAATAGACCAGACCAGTGGTTTTCAAACTGTGGGGTGGGACCTCCATGAGTCAAGAGCGCTTAAGGGAAGGGGGTGCCAAACTTGGAGGGCCTGATCCCTTCTCCTCCTGTTTTTCCACCTCCCAAACTTTTTTCTGTCTTGGAGAGTAACACAAAGGCCAATAGTGTATGTGAGTGAAGGAAAAAATGAAAGAGCATTACTATGTGTGTATATATATCTGTGAGCACTGGTGTATGAATGTGGCAGTGTGTGAGACAGTATGTGTAAAACGTACATGTGTGAAGTATTGAATTTATTTAAATTACAATTTTCTAATTTGAACAATGTTATTTCCTTATAACATGTTCAAATATGAATATACATGAATGTGTGAATGAAAATGTTGTTGTGTGCCTTCAAGTCATTTCTGACACATGCTAACCCTAAGGTATCATGGGGTTTTCTTGGCAATTTTCTTCAGAAGGGGTTCACCATTGCCATCCTCTGAGGCTCAGAGAGTATGATTTGCCCAAGGTCATCCAGTGGTTTCATATGGCCAAGCCAGGATTTGAACCCTGGTTTCCAGAGTCATAGTCCAGTACTCAAACCACTATACCATGCTGGCCCTGAACAAAAATAAACACACTAAAAAAATAAAATAAAAAAATTCATTGATATACTATGTGGAGTGGGGGGGGCGGGTACAGGGAGTCACAAAAGTAAAAAGTCTGAGAACTATGAGACCAGACTAATCAAAATGGGGGAAACAGAAATGCAAAATAATTTTGAAAAATACAATTTTTATATTAAGCAAACAAGTTTTAAAGGATATGATATGCATACTCTTCAGAGACTTTGAATAATCTGTGAAAGACATACTTTTTGTACATGGAATATTTTCAGTAGGAAAAAATCCTCAGAAGTACACAAAATGTTTAATAATAATAATTAATAATAATAATAATTTATATTTTCCTGCCTCTCCCTACGGATCGAGGCGGGAGCACAAAGATAAAATGTACAACACTGTACAATAATACAATATATAAAACATGATAATAAAAAATGACAACAATAAAAAGCAATAAAAACAATAATAAAACAGCAAATAACCAGTATAAAGACTGCGAGGCAGATCTATACTGTAGTGGTAATCAGATTCTTACCTGGGAGATCCATAAGAGATGATAATATTTTATCTTATTATTTAGTTAGGGAAATCAGGTGTATAGGCCTGCCGGAAGAGTCTTGAGTGCCTTCTTAAAAGCCTCTAGCGTAGATTAGATGTTCTGTATATTTATATTTATACTAGATTAGATTTATATTTATACTAGATTAGATGTTCTGTATATTTATTTTCTACTTTGGGCCAGCTGAACCATGGGTAGGAGAAGTAATTGACACAGGAAATGTGCCCCCCTTACACTTTGAAAGATGAACATATATTCAGTGCAGTCTAAAGTCTCAGCCTTCCCTGTACTACAAGATGTACATGTGTTTTCTTTCCATCTCATTTCCACAGTGAGTCCTCATTTTTCCTTCTTCCAGCAACTTCTTTTGAAAATCAATAGGGAGCAGAATGCTATCTTCTTCTGGGCAAGTTCTCTTTGTCACATCTTCCCTATAAACACGATATGTGTCAGTCACCTGGATTCTGCCAAGGAGTCTGCTTTTAATTGTAGGGCTAAGCTCTTAAATATGAGGAAAGTAGCTCATCTACCAAGGGTCTTTCATTTGCCACTGAAACAAGAGTGTATGTGAAAAGGAAAAATGCGGATGGGAAAATGTACATAAGGTTGGATAGTTCCATTGTCGGTGGACTGAAACAAGATTGTCTATTTGTTAACCTTGTTCATCTTATTCACAACTTCATACCCAGTTCTGAATGACCATGAAGAGGGTCAGGTCACAACCCACACAACCCCAATAGTTAGGCTGCAATCCTATGTACATTTTTAAGGGAATAAGCCCCATTGAATACAGTGGCATTTCTGAATGCATATACAAAGCTTGCATTTTATTTATCAGCAAGCATGGAATTTTCCCTGTGTTCAATCTCCATTCATTTTCAACCAAAGCAAGTTTGGGTTAGGTGAAGACCAAACAGGAGCCAACAGAAAACAGGAGGCATCATATGTGTAACAGATGGCAACAGAGCAAGGGAATCATTTATAGGACCATTTAATGATGGTAATAATGACAATAAATGCCTGTCAGCATATTGGAGCAGGAACAGAGTGTCATTAAAAAATCAATGCCAGCTGAACCTTGCAACATTTCTTAGTGCCTTTTCTTTTTGCTTTGTCATTTTTTCATTGCTGTTTGCAAATAATAAAAATTGTAAGTAACAATAAAATTGAAACTGGCATGAGAGCCAATGTGGTATAGTGATTTGAGCATTGGACTAGGACTCTGGAAACCAGGGTTTGATGCCCTGCTCGGCCATGGAAATCCAGTGGGAGACCTTGGTCAGGTAACATGCTCTTCGCCTCAGAAAACCGCTTAAGTCAGAAATGATTTGAAGGCACATAACAAAACAGCAATAGTACTCAGTGGTCCACTACTCAAATGAAGAATATCTAATGCGTGCCAGAACCTTACTTTTCCCTGGGAATGATGAGTTACTTAGATTTCCATATGAAATCTTATTTGTATTCCTATTGCACTGTGAAACAGCCAGTCTACATGTATATTGAAACCAGACATCAGTGGTGCATCATCCACAGAGATAGGGGTACCTCAACCTGCAGAGAGTTAACACAGCCCCTTGTCTTTGACTGTAGTCTGCTGGTATAATTTGACATGGCTTTTCCAGGATTGTGAACATTCAGCACACAGTGAGTCAGGCCATTGGTCTAGGTAGTTCAGTATTTTATCTTACCTGGTAGTGGCTCAAGTGGTTAAGATGTTGACTCTGTTGATTGCAAGGTCAGGAGGTTGGCAGTTCGAGGTCCGGGTGCTGCATGAGGGGGTGAGCTTCTGTCACTAGTCCCAGCTTTTGCCAGCCTAGCAGTTCAAAAGCATGCAAATGCAAGTAGATAAATAGGTACCACTTCGGTGGGAAGGTAAACAGCGTTTGGTGCAATCATGCTGGCCACATGATCACAGAGTAGTCTCTGACAACACTGGCTCTTCGGCTTAGTAATGAAGAAGAGCACCATCCTTTATGGTCGGACACGACTTGACAACCTTGTCAACGGGGAATACCTTTACCTTTACCTTTAGTGGCTTTCCAGGTTTCATATGAGAGACATGTCCAGCCCTGTCTTGAAATGCCTGGATTTGACTGTGGTACCTTTTGTTGTGCAAAGCTTGTGTTTTACCACTGAGCTACATCAGCCTTTTTGTGCTTTCAGTGTTTTAACATTAGGGCGGGGGGGACCCAGCAACAGTGAACTTACAAGACTAGTACTATATCAGAGAAATGTTTGAGACAACATTTCCATTGACATGCTACTTTTCTGTATGCAAGGGGGATATTTTATATTATGATGTGTGCATGAAAAATGGGCCTTTTCTAATTAGAAGTTTCAGGGGGTGGTTCTGAATGAATAAATGGGGACAAATTAAG